ACTCTTGGAGGCTTCAAGACGAAGCCCTTAGGACTTTAATTATGGTTCCAAAAATGGTACAGAACTTCCCCCATAGCAGATAGTTTTAATTAACCCTGGAACAGCATCCAAGCATGTTCCCCTAAATAGCACTAAATAGCACCAGCCAGAGGACCCATATTCATTTTAGAGATACAGGTAAATGTCCAAAATACCGATGCTTGATGTGGGGTCTGTCTTGGCATCTCATTTTTATTGTTGCAGAGTTAGAGTGGTGTGAGCCACAAGCCCAGGCGGCCTCAGGACTCGGGTCAAGCCCAGGTCCCACAGCGACACTGCTATGTGCTCCTCCCCACTACACCTCGGGGTCCCAGTGTCCTCGTCTGCCTTCCAGCAGGGGGTGCCCTGTAATTCTGCAGGTCCTGGCAGAAGGATGGCATGCCCCTGCCTGTCTACAGTCCCCAGCTAGAGGTCATCAGCTCCTGGCCCCTGTGACCCCATGGTGGGTCTCCCACCTTTTCTCAAGAGCAGAGTCGACGTGAGGGGAGGCTGGTGGAGGCTGGTGGGTGCTCTGTGGACACAGAGCAAGGGCCCCATGGGGCTGCCTCTGGCCCCTGCAGCTAAGCATTCAGTGCAAAATGGCAGCCCACTGAAGGACTCCAGCAAGAATCAACCTCTGAGAAATTGTATGGCCTGTTTTCCCCCTAAGCTGAACCCCTGCATTCATCCCACCTCCTGCCCCGCCAGCCACACCTCCTCCCCTCCTCTCCAGATGAGCTCTGCTGCCCACAGCTTTAAATGCCCATCTCCAGCCCTGATCATGCCTCCCCACGGCCTCGACCCCTGCCTGTGTGGTCCCCTAAAAGAGCAGATCACACCGTGCCCCCCACCAGAGGCTGAAAACTTTCAAATGTTCCCCTCACGTGGGAAAGGAGCCCCGCCTGGCACCACTCCCCCCATTGTGGGGATGTTCAGGCAGGGGTGAGAGCTGCAGGTTAGAGAGCAGCGGTTCTCAGACTTTACAATCACGGGGAGCTTGTAAAACACCAACTTCTGGGCTCCGCCTGTTTCCTATCAAGTGGACACCTGGCGAGTGGAACCTAGACATCCAGCTGGGCCTGACGCCCCAGTGTAACCCCTGCTCCGAGAGTCCTCGGCCCTGGTTGGGCATTGAAGTCACCTGCTCATGCCCCAGCGCCATCTCTGAGATCATGACTCTGTTGGTTGGGGGTGGGGTCCCAAACTGGAATTTTGCAGACTTCCAGGGGACCCTAACATGCCGCCAGGCTGAGAACCCACTGCCCTGGGCCAGCGGTTCTCAAACTCGAGCTGCAGAGCCCCCAGGGGGTTGGCCCATCCACAATTTTTGGTGAGGAGATCTGAATGGGCCAATAATCTGCATTGCTAACAAGCCCCCCAGTGATGTTGGTCCTTGGACTGTACTTTGGGGACCGCTGCCCAGACTTCGCACTGAGGCGTCAGCTCTAACTTGACCTTCTCAGACAGACCCGGCCACCTCGGCTAGAGCAGCCCCCACACCCCATCTTCCCTCTATCACCTGTTCTATTTCAATGATCCTATTTTCAGCAATTTCAAGGGCACAGGAGGAGGCAGAGTCTAGAGCAGGAGGGCCATGGGGAGGAGGGGTGAGGGGGTGCAGGTTCCTACCGCCCTACCCAGCACAAGTGAGACCACGTGAAACAGGTGAGACCAGGAAGGCACCAGCCAGGACAGGATTACTTCTGGAGTAGGGAGGAGTGTGCAGGGAGGGACACACAGATTCCCAGGAGCTGGTAACTCGATTTCTTAACCCAGTGCACCTGGCTTTGTGTCTTATCATTCCTCTTCCGTGTAGACATACATTTTATGTGCTGTTAAAGCCTTTTTCGGAGGCTATGCACCAAGGGTCTGGTGCAGGCAGAGCTCACAGTGGTGGGGTGGGGGTGGGGGAGGGGCAAGCAGGAGCTGGCCTGCAGTGTGGTTCTCAGGTGCCGTGAGAGAGTGACCCCAACCCACGCACCCTTTTTAAAGGGCTCCTGTGAACTCAGCCTTACAGATGAAGGTTCAGCATCTGTGCCACCCTGCACTGCCCATCCTGGGGGATGGGACACCACCAGGGGGTCTGTTGCCCACAAATGAGCCATCACTGAACAGACATGAAAATCAGGAGGGCTTCCAGTCACTCTCTCAGGAGTATCTGCCAGCACCACACCCCCACCCTGGCCACAGGGGAGCCCGTGTGCCCTCAGAGGCCCACCCAGGACCCCCAGCCCACCTCCCTCATCCCGTCTCAGCCACGTACAACGTCTTAATTGGGATCAGACTGCCTCTGCCTTGCTCCAGGACCGTTGTACATGCAGACCCTCCGCTCAAACGCCCTTCCTGGCTCCGCCTACTGTGTCCACATAGTAAACCAGAACGCCTTCATACCTGGCTTGGGCATCCCTCCTCTGCTTCAGCCCCAGGAGATGGCAGGCCCCCCACGGCGCTCTGGGAGCCTCTACCGTATTGTCATGGTTTTCGAGCTCTGTGTCCTCCCCTGCACCAGACCCCCTGGGCCTGATTTCCCAGCACCAGCTCTGAGGCCCCCTGTTACCCTGCTGTGCCCTAATTGACAGAAACAAAACCCAGCTGTTGCCCTGACTCCAAGGCGCAGAGTCATGCCCGGGGGCCCCAGAGCCCCTGTGCCTCCATCTTCCTGCCATCCACCCTCTCCCCAGAGAGCCCACTGACCTCTCAGACCTCACCTCTCCCACCGCTCCACATCGATGCCAGTAAGATTCCTGCTCCAAGACTGCAGCCCAGGGATACAGACAAGCCTCGATCTCTGAGAAACGTTCCTGCCCCTGAATGGAGCTCAAGAGCTTGCACTTTCTCTGAGCAGGTAGAGGGGGTGGTCACCTGAGGCCACGGAGACAACTGCAGGAACTCAGACCCTGAGCAGCTTTGATACCCTCCCCCAAATCCTGCTCTGGGGCAGGGCTGCCCGAAGCTCACAGTGGGTCCCCCCGGGCGGACAGAGCCAAGCAGTCAGCTTTCTGCTCACTGCCCCAGGGGCCACCTGTCCAGGGAGCTGGTCAGGTAGCAGCCGTGAGCACAGGTGCAAACCTGTGACCAGGCAGGGTTGTTTCTTCCTTTCTACAATACACCTCGTGCAGAGTTTAACAAGAAATCTGGACGTGACAAAGAGCAGGGATGAATGCCATTCAACTGCATTGGCAGTGGGCCTTCCAGAAGGTTTAGATTTTCGGATCAGCAGGATCTAGTATTTGAGACATTTCACAAATGTGTCATTTTAAATCCACGTCATTGGCTCCCACTGCAGCCAGCTTTTCCCCAAATGATGGGAACTTGCCAACAAATGTGGTTTTTCCCAGAAATCTTTTTATAGATTTGACTCTAAAACAAGGCCCCCTCTGGACTTCGGGCCCAGGTGTGCCAAAACTGTGGTGTGCCAAAACTGGGGTGTGCCCAGGTAGAAGGCAGGGAGGGCAGGTGCCTGGCCCTCCATCCATCATCCCCTCCAGGCCTGGCCAGGCACCCTCAAGGCTCCACCAAGGACACAGCCCTGGCCCAACCACCCGTGGGGCAAAACTGCGGGTTTTCTCCAGACAGCTCCTGGGCAGCTGCGGCCTGGAGCTCAGCCTGTCCCTGTGGGGCAGGTATAACAGGCATGGTGACCGTCAGGACAACACTGACAACCATCCCCTGGCCGCCCCAGCAGGGGTCTCAGGCCAGGCACCTCACAAGCCTCATCTACTCACCATCACAGAAGTCCAGCACGAACACACGGCCTTTCCCCTCAGTTTTGTTATAGCAAAGGTATACACGCCCCAGTTTCAACCTCATAATGAGGTTTATGCATAAAACAACAACCTTACCCACACCCCCATGTCCTCCTCCTCAGTGGTAACCACTTTGATCTCTTGCAGCCAGTTATTTTGGTATTTTTTTCCAGCCTTATTGAGATATAATTGACAGATAACACTGTGAAAGTTGAAGGTGCACAACATGATGATTTGATATATGTATATGTTGCACAATGACCCATTACCTCATGTAGTTACGAGTTTTTGTGTATGGCAAGACCAACTCTCTTAGCAACTTTCAAGTATACAATAGATATTGTTAACTATAGTCACCATGCTATACACTAGAGCCTCAGAACTTACTCATCTTACAACCGGAAGTTTGTGCCCTTTGACCTACGTCTCCCCATTTCCCCACCTCCCAGCCCCTGGTAACCTCCACTCGACTCTCTGTTTCCATGAGTTCAGGTTTTTAGATTCCACACATAAGTGAGATCACACAGTATTTGTCTTTCTCTGTCTGACATCACTTTGCATGATGCCCTCCAGGTCCACCCACATTATCACAAATGTCCTCCTTTCTTGCGGCTGACCTCACCTCCCTCTCACTGACAACCATGCCGAGCAGCGGGCTGCTTCTCTTGCAGCATGTGCACACTTGTCCCTGTGAAGGAGGAGCATTTGGCTCTGTACCACTGCCTCCCCAGCCGTCCCAACACCCCATCCCCCCCCAGATCTCACTCTCCTTTGGGTCTCATCATATTTGGGTGAGACTGGAAGCCAGGCCTCCACGATGATAACCATGTACCCAGCATCAGAGTGGAGCCAGGCACACACTGGGGCAGCCCCTCTTTCTTCCTCCACCTTTTTACACTCCCGCCTCTCATTTCTCCACAACGCTCGTGCTAGCGCAGTTCCCCGATGACCTCCACCCACCTGCTCTGAAGATGAGCACCTTCCTAGAGCCGCAGCTTCCCAAGGCCACGTCTGGACAAGGACAGCCAGGGCTCCCTCTGCCCATGGAGGGTCTCCTGGGCCCTGGCCATGGTCCTGCTTCCTGATTTACTCCCTCATGCCTGCAAGCTGGATGCTGCCATGTTGCTGCCAGATGATGGAACTGGGCACACAGCTTTGCTGGAAGCGGGTTGGTGGATTTTAAGTCTTGTCCTTGCTGCCATCTGGCTTCTGCAGAGCAGCCTAGAAGTCGACCCAAGAAGCCCCTGCTCGCCTCTCACTAGTCTCCTTCCCCCAGGTGGGGCCTGCTGCGGCCCCTCTCCCCACTGCTCAGGGCCACATGCCTTCAGCTGGGCTGTGCCCTCTGCCTAGAGTAACCTTCCCGTCTCCACCTGGCAAACTCCTCAGCAAGCATCAAGACCAGATTAGCATCTGCTGTGAAGCCTCGCTCATCTCAAAGATTCATTTCTGCTGACGGCACTGCCTCCAACTCCAGTTGGCTCCAGCTCTTACCAGAGTTTCCCGTTCCATGGGTGGACCAGTCTGTCAATTGTGTCCTTTGATGCGCAGAGTTTTAAATTTGACGTAGTCCACTTTATCTGTTTTTCTTTTTTTGTTGCCTGTGCTTTTGGTGCCATATCCAAGAAATCATCACCAAGTGTCACATCATGAAGCTTTTCCCTTCATGTTTTCTTCTAAGAGTTTCCTAGTTTTAGCTCTTACGTTTAGGTCTTTGATCCATTTTGAGTTAATGTTTGTATATGGTGTGAGGTAAGGACCCAACTTCATTCTTTGCATGTGGAGATCCAGTTTTCCCAGCACCATTTATTGAATTCGTGCTATATTACAGTCCCACACAACTGAAATGACCTTTTGGACAAAGTGGGAAGAGAAACAAAGAAAAGATAACAGGGACCCCCATAATCTTAGAACAAAACGGGCCCCTTTTCTCCATTCCTCTGACCAGAAGGATGGTGTGGGAGCCAGCCTCCAAGATGGCCACTAACTATCCCACATCCCTCGTGTCCGCCCATCCCACATTGTACCAGGGTCAGCCTCAGTAACCAATAGAACATGGCAGAATTCTCTTTTGTCACTTCCATCTGGGGTTTGTTCTTATGCCCTCTTTCCCTTGGATTGCTAACTCCAGGAGAGGCCAGCTGCCATGGACAGGCCCACATGGCGAGGAATCATAGTGCCACATGTGCGATACCCCAGGCAAGACTTCAGATGATGCAGACCCAGCTGACAGCTTGACTGTGACCTCAGAGAGACAGGGAGCCAGAACCACCCAGCTGAGCCACTCCCGGGTTCCCGACTTTCACAACCCTGTGAGAGAATAGAGGTTTGTTGTTTCACTCTGCTAAGTTGCTGGCACAAACTGTTCTGCAACAATAGGTGACAAATGCAGATTTGTCTTTTTTAGGGGTTGAGGTGTGCCACACAGCACTGCTCTGCAAATGAGGCTGGCCTTGGGGCAGGGCTGGAAATCAAAGTCTAGGCAAAATAAAGAATAGGGACCCCACACACTGTCTCACGTGGGGGCGGGGGCGCTTTGTCTGATCTTCTGTCAAGAAAGGAGGAGTTTCTCCTGGAGATTTGGCAGAGTTCCAGGATTCAGCTAGACCTCAGGTCAAAGCCAGAGGTGAAGGATGAAAACAAAACCACAGACCTCACTCCTGTTACAGGTAGTTTTCACTTCAGTCCCCTGGTGGCCTGCATTGTCTTCTCAGAGCCCTCAGGTCACCACTTTTTGGAGCTGTCCAGAGTTTGTTGTAATCAGTGGGAGAGATCAGCTTTAGTCTCTCACTGCATCTTCCATCTTACCTCTTCCAAATTCAGCAGAGATGCCACGGTATGAATGCAATCCATTCCATTACTTAGTCATTCCTAGTTGAAGGACATTCATATCGCTCCCCATCTGTGGCTGCTGCAAACAGTGCTGCAGGACATCCTCATTGGTGCCTCTTACACTTGAGGGTAGAAGAATTTCTCCGGGACTGCTGCTGGATTGGAAGGAATGCCTCTATTTTTCCATGGAGACTACTAAATTGTCCACCAAGAAAGACACATTTATGTATAGTCCATCTAGGACCCTTTCAACACAGCCTACCAACGCTTGATATTAACACTGTCATTTTCACACTGAAAATTAATATCTCAGTTTTAATTTGATTCCCCTGAGACTTATCTCCTTTTCAGCTCCTTACAGGCTATTTATATATCTGTTTGTAGTTCCGTTACTATCATTTTCCCATTTAAAAATTGGGTTGTTGGTCTTTTTTAAATTAATGTATAGAAACTCTTTGTATACCTATATAGACTAGATCTTAATAGCTGTCCTATTTGGTTTATTCTTAGGTATCTTACAGTTTTGTGGCTATTGTGAATAGGCTATTTCCCACAATAATTTACATTTGAATATTGCTCTTATATAGATTATTAATTTTGTATGCAGATTTTGCTTCAAGCCACCAGTAAAATCTCATTGGTTCTAATTATTTTTATGGTTTTCCTGGATTTTCTAAATAGAGCATCATATATCTGCAAATAATGACAGTTTTGACAATACATGTCATTTATTTTCTGGTTCTCACTACACTGACTAGGGTCCATTCCATAAGACTGATGACAGCTGTGAGCGTGAGCATCTTTGTCTTATTCCTGACTTTAAGATGGATGCTTGTTATGTTTTGTTATGTTTCTTCACATGTGTTATGACTCCTGGAGGCTGCTCGATTTTGAGTTAAGGAAGTGTGCATCTGTGCTCACCCAGTCTTGCTCTGTTTAGTGTGGCAAACGTGGGCTGCCTCATCCCAACTTATTCCCACTCTTTTATCTCAGACTTCTCCTCTGGAAGCTGAGACGTGGAAGACTTTATTCCCAGCCTCTCTTGCAGCTAAAGGTGGTCATGTGACACAAGTAGGGCCAAGAGTAGAAGGGAGAAGGTGGTGGGAAAGGCTAGATTTCCTGAATAAGAGAAGGAATTTCAACAAGAAAATGCCTTTGCCCTTCGCCATCCCCTTTTCTACATTACTGGATGCAGATGGAATGCTTTGAGGTGCAGCAGCTGGGCAAGATGGAAAAGGGAGGTAGAGTCAGCTGAGTTCCTTCGTGACATCCTTGGATCGCTGCTCCAGCGTTCTTGTCTCATGAAAAAATAAACCACTGTCTGTGTTCTTTTATGAGATGATTAGTCGAGTGTGGCCACAAGGGGAGACATGAGAGAGGCTCAAGAAAACAAAGGCTATTATACTCCCAGGTCCTGGAGACAGGAGGCATGGCATGCCATGCAGGGCCGCAAGGGGAGCACCAGGGTGATCAGAAGGCAGAAGCAGGAGTGAAGGGAGAGCCAAGGCCACAGCATTTATTCGGGTTTCCATGGAAAAGGCAGGGCAGTGTGAAGAGCTTAGGATTGGCTAGTTGTAATATTTCTGGAGGGGTCTAAGGTATAGGGATGGTCCCTCAATGCGTGGTACCTGCCCTGGGGTGACTAAGGCTGAGGAATATTGCCTCCTGGGGGCACAGACCAGAGAGAGGAGGTCTGGCTCTGGGTTGGTCAGTTTGCACTTCACAGGTGTGCTCCCATTGGGCCCCTTGCTGTCTCTAAGGACTAGCTAGCCCAGGAGGGGCAGTCTCTCCCCAGACAGAAAGGATTAGATGGACAGAAAGGATGCCAGATCATAATATACAGAAAATTAAAAATATACACAGCACAACTGCAAACTTGTTTAAACCACTTCTTGGTCACTATCAGGCTGGCTGTTACCTTCAGCAGAATGAGTCCTAATGAGTCAAGGTGATATCAGCCTTGTAGAATTATTTGGGGAACTTTCCATCTTTGTCTATAATCTGGAACAGTTTATCTACGATATAGGAATAGATGATGGAACCTACTCACAAACCCACAGGGTCTGTTGTCATATTTTAGAAGTTAATATCTGAGTAACTTTCCAATTTCTTCTGTGGATATTATTCTGTTCAGGTTTTCTACATCATTTTTGATCTCCAAAGTAAACTTATCATTGTATTGATCAAATCTTCTCTGGCTTTTCTCTTTCATTACTCTGCTTTTATCATTATTTATTTCTTCCTTCTATTCTTCTTGGGTTTTCTTTGCTATTTTTCATTAATGTATTGAGTTGAATGCTTAGTTAATTTTATTTTGATCTTTCATATTTTCTGAAAAATACATCTAAGGTTACACTGCGATGGCCATGCAGGGATTTTGGCCCCATCAACATTCCCAGCCCTTTCTTCACTTAAGGCAGTGTGCTTGGCAGTTGGCCACTGGTAGGAGGGGTGTCTATCTCCTCATGCTGACTGGTCAATGCCCTTCCTTGTTCAGGTCGTGCTGGGTGCCAGGCACTTTGCATACCCTCCCTCACTGATGTGCATAAACACATGTCATGTATTTTGGTGTACGGATGGTGCTTTTATTATTATTAATTTTTTAATAGTTTGTGATTTCCATTTTTATTTCCTCTTGAATCCAAAATTATATAGAAAGTTTTTTTTGTATTTTCCAAGTGAAAAGCTTTTTTTCTTTTGCCTTTTAGTCCTTTTAGTCCAATAATATGGTGAATATCACTTCAATTTTTCTCCATTTCCCATGGGTATTCAAAAAAGAATGACTACTTCTATTTATGGAAGATATATAGATATTTTGACAAATATTAGATATACATTATATCAAGCTCATTAATTATTATTCAAAACCTATACATCCCTACCTTTTTGTGTGTGTTTATTTGACCTCTTGATTTCTGAAAGAGATCTGTTCAAATCTCCCATAACAATTATGAACTCCTCAGTCTCGCCTTGCACCTCTAACAATTCTTGCTCTGTATCCTCTGAAGCTTCGATGCTGTATGCTGCTGCTTCTCTGCATATCCCTGTCTTATCCATCATTCAGAGCCTGGCTTAAACACCACTCTTCTGTGAGCTCCTCAGGTACACAGAGCTGAGCCTGACCTAGCCCTCCCTGGACATCCCTTTCCACCCATCTCTCTGGCAAACTGACCTCATTCTGCCCCCTAGGAGAGTTCTCTGTAGCCATGCCTCCCCTCCAAGACTCTGAGACAGGGAGCCCTTGAGAGCAAAAGTGGTGTCTTTATGGACCCCACCCCCCTCACAATGTCAAGCTCCTATTTAATCAATGCTAGGTGACTGGAAGAGTGTCTGTTCTTCCCAGATATCTTACTGCTCGTAACTAATACCTATTTGATGCTGATCTCTTGATTGAGAACTCAATCCTCCAATTGTAAAA